TATATATATATATATATATATATATTTATAAAGCAAAAACATACAATGTTGACGTGACATCTCTTTATATTAGTATTCATGTCTTCCTTTTTCCTCAAATTTTTCTTTTTATTTTAGGTTTTATGTTTATTCTAAAACTTTTACTCTTCGTCTTCTACCGTTACAATTCATTMTCTTCTACGTCTTTCTATCATAAACTTATTTACTCTTCATCTTCTACCGTTACAATTCTTTCTCTTCTACATCTCTTTATCACAAACTTCTTTGCTCTTCTCCATCTCTCGATCCCGATAGAAAATTATGGATTGACAGTATAGTTGGCGGTACGCCTCTATCTATGTTTCTGATGCATCTATAGAAAAATATGAAACAATAATTATGAGTGTTTTACTTCTATTTTCTCGATCTCTCTATCTACTCTGCTGTTTGCTATTAGAAGCAAACTGAAGGAGATTAGAGAAACCATATAAGAAGGAACAAGAAAAGTCTATGGCAAATTTAGTTGCTGGTGTGTTTTCTTTCATCTCTGAAGTTCTGGAAAAACTAATTAGATGCTCCAATATCTCCATGAGACTGGGTATACAAAACGTGAAAATTGTATGTTTTCATTTTGAATTACTACCTCAATTTTCTACACAATATGGACTTTGAAGTCGATCTAAACATCTCAGATTGGTAATTTTGTTATTTTCATTTTGAAAATTGCAGATTGTTTTTGTAAACAATTAATTATCTATCTTCTATTACATTTCTTAAGACCCAGTATATTCATAGAAGAAAAAAAATATATGATAATTTCCCATCTTTTTGAACTAAAACATAATTTGATGATTTTGTACTATAACCACGTTCCATGTCAAAACTTTATTGGATTTTTCATTATAAAAGGTAATATTCGACTTTACACCTAATAATATATACCAAATTGACATATGTTATTTATAAATTATATTTTTATTTTTCACAAAAAATATATTACACTTCTCTTTATTCTTATAATAATAAGACAACAAAAACCAATAAATTAGTTATATATCTATAAAATGTATTATCTGTCATTTCACAATTAAACTTATTTTACGTTACATATTCATTTTTCTGCAACCAATATATTTTAATTCTCTTTATTTTAACATAATAAAACAAATTCATAAATAAAATTGTACCATAATTATTGTGATTCATTTTAACACTTTATATCGAATTTAAACTTATATATTCATTTTTTTTACAACCAATGTATTTTAACTCTCTTTATTATAACAAAATAAAACCTTTCAGAAATAAAATTGTAACACAATTACTGTGATACATTTTAACATTTTATATCGAATTCAAACTTATCGATGTTTTCTTTCATCAATCAATAACGACCGCGCAAAGCGTGGTAAAGTTACCTAGTTTTTTACAAAGATAATAATTATATGAGAACRCAATTATTATCCTAATAATATTTTAAACTTTTTATATTTAAAATAAGATATTTATCATGTATTTGGTTATATTTATCTGTAATCTATATATCTATATATTCTATATCTATATATATCTATAAAGCAAAATCATGATAGATTGACGTGGCATCTCCTCGATGCAAAAATCATATTTTTCTCCTTTTTCCACATTTGATTTTTTTTCTTAGTAATTTTGCAAATTAATGTTTACATTTAACACAAAAACTCTTCCATTTCTCTTGGTACGTTTCACCTTCAATATTTAAATCCAATTAATTTTCACATTTAACTCAAAAACTCTTCCATTTCTCTTGAAAGTTTCAACTTCAATATTTAAACCCTTCAATCTTTGGTTTTTTTCATTTATGTGTTCTCCATCTCCATGTATGAGCTTTAAATTACTGGTACGCTCTCCCCTATTCTTTTCCATCTCTCATCTATGGCAGAAGAGTATACACGAGTTTATCATTATACGTAAGAAGTCATTGGAACTTGGATTAAGATGAAATCTCCATTGAGGCTTTAGAATTTTGTGAGAATTTTGATTGTTTTTGTTTTTATTGTAGATTCACTTTTGTTTTTATGTTTTTTATACTTTTTTAATTTGTAATTTTGTAAGAAAAAACACCAACAATTAAATGACATTTTTAGGCATCGCAATCTAATTTTCTTTTTCTCGAACTTTTTTTTTTTTTTTTATTGATGTAATTATTATCAAAACATTAAATTAATTAGACTATTCATTTTCGTTGGTTACACCCAATTTCTTTTGTTCGTTTATCCCATGTAACTCTATTTGTCATTTACATAACAATAATTGAACACACACACACATA